GAAGGGTACCTTCGGGAGCAAATCAGAGTCTCGGGAGGGTGGGAGCGACACTCAGGGGAGCATCGTTCCACAGGGAACTAACTGCTAAAGCGTAAGGAATCTACTTCAAGGTCACAGAACGTTCCGTGCAATACTGAAATGCACCCCGCTCCTCACTCGCCACTGTATCAAACATGCTAATGACGTGAACAAACTTCGAGAAACTTTCAACACACTGGTGTGACAGAAACGAGTCAGGAGTGATGGCAAACGCAGACGACTATCTCAAAAGTTACTTCCAGCAGCACACAAGGAAATAATGGAACCTGAGGAAAAGAACGCAGGACAAGCCTTAACCTCAGCCTTCAAAAAGGGCACGGGGGAGACCCGCCGCCGTGGAAAATGCTGATGCAAATTTCAGAGACAATACCCAGGCTATTTCTATTTTCCGAGAGATGTCAGAGGTACTTACATGTAGGAAGACCCGATGAGATTAGTCCTTGGGATATTTTCCTTTCTTAAGAGAGAGAGAGAGAGAAAAAGAAATAATAATCTTTACTTCGTCCAGCCTTGAGGTGCCTCTCGACCTGATTCAAACACGCAGTCACGGCGACCCACACAGATCTTCAAAGGCAATCCAACAGCAGCCCGAAGACGTCTGGGTGTACGCGTGTGCTAGTGTCTGAGACTGAGCAGCGCGAGCAGGGAGCAGGAGACGAGGTGTGCGCGTGCGCGCGCGAGGGGAGCGCGCGGGGGGAGGCGCGCGCGGGGCCGCGCATTCACGCGCGCACCCAGGCCGCTCCGAAGAGGAGGAGGAAGAGGAAGAGGAGGAGGAGGAGGCGGCGAAGGAAGGGAAAAGAGGAGGCGGAGGAGGACAAAGTGGCTTTTCGCGGCCGATCGGATTAAAAGTAACCAGAGTCTTGCAGAAAACTGCGTCCAGGAAGGAAGTGAGCAGAAGAATGGGCAAAGGAGAGCCGCTGGCAGCCTTGGAAACCTCGCGTAAAAAGGCGGGGAGGGGGCTGTCGCGGGGGGCTGCAGGGCCCGGGCGGGGACGCGGGGGTTGCGGGGCCGAGCGCTCCGGGCTGGGGCTCCGCGCCCTGTCCCTCCGCGTCCCCCCGTGCGGTTCGAGTCCGCTCTCGCCTCCGCCTGGCGCTGCCTCTCCCCCCGACTCTCCCCCACAATCCCAAACCGTGGACTCTCTCCTCGCGAGCGGAGAAATCATCAGTTTCACTCTTGCAACAGGGGGGCGGGACTAGACCTCGGAGCATTTTAATAAAACAAACATACAGCAGCTCCCTCCTCACCCCTCCAGTCTCAACTAGAGTGATAAATTACTCCACTACACTACTTTAATTATGTATATGGTATGCAGAATAAATCACTGAACATCAGTACCTCAATCAAGCACTTTTAAATGATAATTGCATCTTGGTGAATCAATCTTGCCATTCCTGACATTTTGCTAATTTTAGTTTTACGGTGGGGTAATGGCACATGCCATACGCAAACCTAATGACAATTCTTTATTGCACGAAACGAACACGACACGGTGAGCGGCGGCTCCTGGGCTCCTCTGCCCGCCCGCCGCCGGGGACGCTCGGAGAGGACCCGGGCGGCCGCGCTCGCCTCGCTCCCCAGGGGCCTGGGCCGAGCCGGCGGGCGGGGGCAAAGACCTTCTCGAGTCGGGACCCGGGCTCTGACCAATCGGAGCGCGACCCTACTGGCTGCTCCGGTGACCCCCCCCCCCCGCCACGCGCGCTCGCCGCTGCTTTCCCCACGGTCCGTGCGCTCCCGCTACTCACGCGGAGGAGCCTCGGCGCAGGGCGTCAGCGGCTCTCGGTCCCAGCGCGCTTTCCCCGCACGCCCTCGACTCGCCGTTTTCGGGCCTGAGACTCAGCCTGAGCTGAAAGGGTTCTCGACTGTTAATCCTGTACGCATCCTACAGGAATCGCCGTGGGTGAAATCTCAACTCCACGGCGGGGCCGTGAACTTCCTAATCAGTTTGGAAATATTTACCGAGGCGGCAGCTTCCTCGGAGGGGTACCCTCCCCTTCCTCCCACTCTGCTCTTCCACACCTTACTGGACTTTATCCAGGTCACTCACATGGAAACCGAGCCAAGTTCCCAAACCCATTAGGCGACCCGAGCCGATAGCTGATGACTTCACTTATCCTCAAGAGTTTCAGCAGCAGGAAGCAGCACTGCAGACTGATAGGGACGAACACTTATGTGAGGGTTTCAGCACGTTGAGCTCTTTTTCCTCGCCAAAAGCATAGTTTAGTATTCAATATTGAGGAAAGGTTGCTAAGGCACTGGGCATCTCCCAGCCCTGGCCAGTGAAACCACACCCAAAAAAGCCAAAGGTAAAATCTATCAACCTGTACACTGATCATTCTTTTTTAAGAAAGATTGCGTGCCAGTAGAATTAGAGATTATGTAAAATGTTTAAGCCAAATTAAGTTTTATTAATACTGTGAAAAGAAGGAAAAATGTATAGGGGATAGAAAAACATTGAATGTATACGAGTAGACAATAACAGTATACTGAAATACCTAGCTAATTAAAGGTATTTGCTCTTTAAAAAAAAAACAACAACATTCCTTTCCGCACTGTGTGTTTAACCCGATGACTAGTTGCATTTCCCGTTTAGTTCTTCATTGTGCTTCCAGGCGACTGTTTTGAGGCATGAGGATAATGTGGTTCAAAAAGCCTCCTGCTTCATCGTGGGGATATGTGATCTTAGTAGCTTCTCTCAGAAGAGTGGGCTCAACATTTAACCACCCTCCCAAGGCTTCCCTTGCAGCGAGAAGGTTTATTTTACAGGCAACCACAACTAGATCTAAACAATCTTCAAGCTTCTGGCTCATTATCATTGTGACTATTAGCACAGCTAAGAATCCATCGCCTTTATTGTAGGAAAGCATGGTAAACTGTCAGAAAGCAAAAACCACCCGAAATAGGATGATTTCTTTCTAATATATTTTGTTTAGCTGTTTGTTTTTCATACAGTGAGTCTGCTACTGCCATGAGCTCCTTTTAATAATATATGTCAAAGAGCAACTGTATCACATTTTCACTCAAGGTACAACTTCTTTAAAAAAAAATCTCAAAACTTAAAGTTGCATAGAGTTTTGAATACTATGTTATGTCTGTATGGGATGGTAAAACTGAAATTAATTTTTTCAAGATTCACAAAGGTGGTGACAAAGCAAACCATTTGAAGGACCATCTGAGATTACTACTATAATGCTTGAAATTAGCAAAATGAATTGTAACAGCCTCTTTTATATGAGCACACAGACGTAGCCAATACATACATTTCAATCATGCTGTTTTTTGATGGGTAATAGAGGGAATTTCTAGTTACGCTTTAGTTTTAGATTTATTGCTTCTGGAAAACAAACTCTTGATTTTACCTTTACATAGTTAGAGAATTATTTAATAGTAAACATTGCAACAAACCCATAATTATCAATGATAGTGCAAGCAATCAAAAGAATGCACAACCCCACACTGCGGATAATTTGAAAATAATTTGGATATGGAATGTATCACAGTTGGCCTTTTAAAATGTAAGATTTTCCCCTTAGCAGATTTAGCTTCTTAATTAAGTGTGACCTAAGATAATATTAGCATTAGTTTCTTTCCCAGAAGCCTTTATAATTGAAGTGGAGCAGAAGAGGTTAAGTAGACATATACAATAGACAAGTCACCTAGATTTAAAATTATTCACAAGTAATCCAGAAAGTAGTGACCCTAGAATGTGCCTTGTATGGTTCTTTAAATACCTCTGAGCTTCATTTATTTATTTTTACCCAAACCATCTAGATTGGGTAAATTGCCACCTAATGGTTCTTGGCTAGGATCAGAATATTTTCTCTTGTAGAGAGGAGCTTGTCCTGGAAGTATTAGGAGACCTTTAACTAGTTCAGGATTTGTGTCTTACTGTTGGATGTGTCCTTCCTAGACTGCAGTTTGCTTATGTGTTAAATGGGCTCTAAAGTCTACCCCAGTTCTTTGCTTAGAAGATAGTAAATGATTATACCTTTTCAACCAATTGAAAGCTAGAGGTCTATCCAGTTAAAGAAAAGATGACTTTCGTTTTTAAAAAACCGTGTCTGGGATTGATGTACTATTAAACTAGCTGTGTGTGTGTGTGTGTGTGTGTGTGTGTGTGTGTGTGTGTGTAGGGCAGGTGTGTAATCACAAAATATTTCTTGCATCAAGTAATTATCTAAATACTTTATCTTTAATGTAAAGTTACATTAACTTACTCTTTTCTCCAAAAGAGTTATATTTAGCAATCCATTTAATTAAAGTCCAAAGAAGGTACAGAGGAGATGATATTTGGGATTTCAGCTCTGGAGAAAGCTAATATTCCAGTTTCTATTCTGTGCATGGCACCTCACTCTGCCCTGCTCCCTCCACCACTTCCTTACATTAAAGCAGCAGTCTGCCAAGCCTGAAGCCCAGTGCACTGGGTCTGCCTGCTTTTAAGCCTGGCCCACGCTGGGTGTAGCTCTTGAAGTGAGCTTTAAAAAAGTATTTTAAAGTGAGCTGGGGCGGTTGCTACAGCAACTTACCCTGAGATGAAGAAAGGCTATAGATTAATCTACCCCTAAAGATTATTCACTGCAGTGTTTATACTGCAGCCAGAACACTTGCAACACAAACATGATAATTGAACAGCAAAGCTCAGAAAAAACCCCCTGAAAACAGAGTAAGATACAAATTACAGAGCATTAAGCAGGTTTTAACCTTTCTGCAGTACAGTATAGGTGATACATATGACTTTTGGTGAAATGAATTAATTGGGAGTACACCTAGAAATGGTAGGCCCTGAAGAGTGACACGTAAGCAGAGTGGCCTGACATTGCTTGTAAAAGAAAGTACATAATGGTTACTTAACCCTATCACCGCTATATATGTCTAACCCTTAAAATACCTGAAGACAAAGAATTTGGCATTTTTACCTTTGTGATATCTTCGTGGAAGATGACAAAGTAAGTGTAAGTACTCACCACATACTCTTCTTTACCGCTACGGTCAGGTCATTTGCTTGCCATTCTTTACTTCATCTCTTCATAGAGTTACTTCACAGTTTACAACTCTTTGGCACCTTAAAATGTGTAAAGTACAGAAAAAGTATATGGTTACGTTTTTTTTAAAAGCCGACATTAAAGTAGATTTAAGTAGATTTATTTCCAAAACTTGTAATCCAAAATAACATTAATATTAATTGCTTTTAAGCCACTGAACCAATGAGTATTGAATTGAAAGAATTAAAATGATTGATTGTGATAATATAATCATTAAAATAAATAGTGCCAAATATCTAAATTTCAAAAATTCTTCAGGTTGCAGCTTCAGTCCAAGCAGAGTATATAGCACATGGCCTGTTTGTGATTGAGAATCTGTGATATGCAAAGAATCTGCTATTTCAAGGAAAAGTTTAATCATATCTTTTATTTTGTATCTAATGATCTGATATGCAATTTTATTTTTATACCTTTAATTTAAAATCTGATAAGGAATTACAAGGGGGAAAAGGCAAATCTATTATTTCTCAAGCCACAAAAATTGGTCAAATTGGGAAATATTTGCAATGTAATTTAAATAGCTGAAAAGACTCATTCTACGTATGTATGTATTCTTAAAGGCCAATTAAAAATACTGTGGGATTAATAATGTGGATTCAGCACCATTTATGAATTGTATTACTAATGGTACCTTATCCTTCCAAGCAGTGTTTAACTGTACTGAGCACGGACAGATATTCCTGTGTTCCGATCTCAGTGTTAAACCAGCCTGCCATGACTTTGAGGACACAAGTGAATCTTTCCTTGCCTCAGGTTGGGACTAGTTCAGAAAGAGAAACAACGTTGGAGACTTAGCAGACCACGCTGGCCACCATCCATTTTCCCACTGTGTTAGCAGGAAGGCTTTTTCATAGTGGAGTCTTTTATCAAGCCTCTTTATTTGGGTTATCCATAAAGCTTATTTTCATTAAGTTACTTCAGAACTAAGGAGAAATGAATAATTTCTAAAATAAAATAGTTTTATTTTAGAGGTTGTGAGTTGAGTCTTTTGAAAAGCACAGGCCCACGGTGAATTCCTCCAGACTTGGTTTCCTAGCCATGACCGTCACCTGGCCAATCCTTTTCTCCAGCTGCTTGGTTTTGTAGCCTGTTATTAAGTGGGAGTCATGATACACACTTCCCAGGGCCTTTCACCTTGCAGAAATGCAATCTTCATGAAATAATGTCTTAAAGATAGGCTAAGGCTTTAAAAAATGCCAGTACAAACGATGACATATTTCTTCCTTTTCTTCTGTCAGGATGTCCAAATAAGGCTCGATCAGCGGATCAGTGATGTGCTTGAGAGTGTGTGGCTGATTCAAAAGCATCCACATGCATAGCTAAATTTAATGGGACTTTACTTACAAAATTGTTAAATGTTTGTCAGAAGCCTGATTCTATTCAATTTCTTGAAATAGAACAGAAACCTGAAATTCAAGGAATGGATTTTCACACTTCCCCTTTTAACCCTTATTTTAAAGATCCCTTACGATGCCTGTGCCCTTTCATCTTTAAAGCCATTTACCCAGGGTCAGGGTGGAAGCCTACGGTGAAAAATCTCCTGCAGCCTTTGGGTGCCCACTTCTTTGGGAAGCAGCGTGAGAGCGCTGCGATTCAGTTAAAGACCCGGACGAGGGACGCCACTGGATCCAGCCTCCTCTCGGCTGAGTTACTGATTGCAGGCAGCAGCAATCCCAAGGTAGATTCGCGCGCGGAGGGAGCCCGCGCTGCCTGCGTTCCGGGAGCCACACCAGCCCCAAACGCCACCCAGCTACTGCGGCCCTCCCCTTCGGCCCTGCTCCCACCTCCCGGTTTCTCCTTTGCTCGCCCGCCTCTACCCCCTTCCCCCGCTTTCCCCGCGGGTGGAGCGGGGCGGGGCGCGGTCCCAGCTCCCCGGAGCCCGAGGCCGCCAGGCGGGGGTGAGCGCGCCACGTGCGTGCGCCGGGCGCAAAGGCCGTGCGCTCGGCCGGCCCGGAGCTGCCGCGCGGGGTGAGCAGGGCAGGAAGCTGGGTGCCGGCTGGTGCCTGGCTCCAGGGAGGGGACGTCACGGGTCACCGCCTGGAGGAAAGCGGGCTGTGTGCGGCGGGAAAGGACACAGGGTGGGCTTGGACACAAGAGATGCTGAGGAAGTTGCCCTGCTATTCTGGTTTGGGGATCCTAGATCTGCTTCTCAGACATTGATCCCAAAGAGCTAGAGACGAGCTCGGCGACCTCCATACACACGCCGGGCCACGTGAAAGGAAGCCATCCTGCACGGGGCACAACGCCCTGGGCTGCCCACTGCGCTCCCTCTGCCCTCCTCTGCCCTGAGCCAGTCCTGTGGGCTCTAGACCTCGCAGACCAGCAAAAGGAGAGGGCCCAGGACTGGGGTTTAAAGTCTAAGCTGTCAGGAGCAACAATTATTTCAACAACAAAAACTAAAAGCCAACCACTGCCTTTAGGAGGTAAGGACCTCTGAATATGTGGGATTCTTGGCTTGGGGAAAGCCAGAGAGGAGAGCTACTAGGACGAACACTTACCACACCCAACCCAAACTTCCTTTCCAGTGCGCCCCCTTTATTTGTGCGAGTTCCGAAGCAGTGCCAGGATCTTTTACAAAAATGCCATCACTATCACTGTGATGTTGGATTTGTCTCCGTTGCAGCAAGGGAGCCAAGCATGGTGGAAGGACCAGCGCTCCAAAGGCATTGTAGAGTATACCGCTGAGCACATCACAAGTTGAAACATGTTTCTGCTACTCTCTTCTTGAAACCGTAAACTGCTGCCAGCATGGCAGCCACTAGCCAGCCACCTGTGGCCATTCCGACTTGAAATTAAATAATCTAAAATTTCAGTTCTTCAGCTACACCAACCACACTTCAAGTGCTCAGTTGCCACATGTGGCTGGTGGCTACCTTATCAGATAGAAAGATGTTGACTGTTCCATATCAGATAAAGTTCTATCGGGGAGTACTGCTACACAGCCGAAAGGGGAAGGAAGGAAGGAAGGAAGGAAGGAAAGGGAGGGAGGGTAGAGTAATTGCACTATGACTGATACTAGGCACACTTTTGGACAGTCTGGATTTGTATCACTTGGCACCAGTGTGAAAGTTGTAAAGTTAGGATTTCCATATCTTACTGCTGAAAAAGATTCTGGGGTCTGCCATACACAAGCACCTAATTTTTTACAGGGGAGAGAAGTCAGATGCCGAGAAGTCTTAACGTAACTTTGGTAAGTGGAGTAGATTCTTGGTACGGTCCAGCAGACTTTGTGTCAGGCCAGGCACCTTGCTTGGAGTGGGCTGAGCAAATTACCTCCCTAGAAGGTGGTCTGACAGAAGGTCTTAGGCAGGAGTACTCTTTTACCAGGGCATTCTTCCAGAAAGAAATCCCATTTAATAAGGACTAAGGGGCACCGGGAATAATACTGCCTTGTAAACTTACAGTATATTATTGGATAGTGTCACAGATTCACATAATGCCTTTCCTAAGGCTGATTGGGATAATATTTTGCTTACTTGTACTTAAAAAATTCAGAGGAAATGGAATTATTCTTTAAAAAATGAGATCTAAAGAGCACTCTTAAAAGTCAGGGAGGAAAAGTGTTACTTCAGGTGAGAATAGTTAGCAAAGCACTGTATTCCTCACATTTGACAAAAGATATCATTATATACATTAATTACGATATCACTAAAGTGAAATTTGATCAGAAATGTTAATAATATGAATAAAAATTACAAATTATGCTACGAGACATATAAAGCAACAGAATAAAAATTTTAGAACTTTAGAAGCAGCAGAATAAAATCAACATTTTAGACAAAGCATAAACTTTCTTGCAAGAGTTCTTGTTTTTTTGAGTTTTTACTTTGCCATGTTTATCTTCTAATTTCTTACTCTTAACTGGGAGTGAAATGTCGATATTAATTCTGCCCTTTTATGCTAATTTCTTTTAATCAACCCTTACTGAAAGATTCTTAAATATTCAGATAGCAGTTTTGTTGTAAGATTTTAAAAATAAGAACTATTTTTTAAAGTTTGAACTTCTGAGCTGATCCAGATTTGAGTTATTGTCTCTTTTTCTTACTGATTTACTATTTAAACATGGCTCGTGGTCTAGAGATTCATGATCTGTACTCTCTGAAATCCAGTCCCTCCTGAGAAAATGTTTTAGTTGTCCAAGTGCTTGCTGATAACATAGAAGATGTCAACCTCTCCATCCCTAACCACTGAAAAGGCCTGTGGAACTTGGAGGAATCTGAGTGGCCAAAAGCCAGGAGACTCTACAACAGGTTAACAGTGTTGCGCACACGTTTTGAATCGCTCTGTGCCTCATTTTCCTCATCTGTAAAATGAGATACAGAATAGCACGCCCTCCAAATCTTGTTATGAGGATTAAATGAACTACTCACTATAAAGTGCAGGCCTGGAAAAGTGACAAGCTGCAGTAAAAATGAGCCATTCTTTAATGCAAAGAATTTTGACTTCTATACCACTACTTTTTTTTTTTTTTTTTTTTTGGTACCAGGGATGGAACTCAGGACCTTGTGCTTGCAAGGCTGGCAGTGGAACCACTGAGCTAAATCCTGGGCCCTATACCACTGCTTTGTGTATTCACTTAGTCTCTGTGGCTGTCACCGAAGAAAAAAGTAGGTCATCAGAGACTGGGAATTGGTCCAGGGTGAGAACTGCTCTTGAATTTTACCTTTGAGGATGTAGAGATCTCTTTAGTCCTGCAATCCTGTGACTTGGTGGATAACGTTGCCTTATTTCCTTTTCACAGGCATGACGTCTTTGGGATACTTTCCGGTTTCTGGTGCCACTTGTTTTTGTTTTATTTCTTGAGGGTTGCTTCCTCAGGTTCCTTAGCTGCTTGATTGCTGAAGAGGTGCTCCAAACAACAAGTCCAGCTTCTTTTCACCTCAGTTGACCTTGGGAATGCTGTTGTCGCCAAGGAGACATTAATATCTTCAGTCTCCTGCTAGCTTGAATTCTTTAGGGCAGAGTCTGCTGAGATTGCCTCCTGATGTCATTCTAAATATCTGGTGGCCCTCTATGGGAA